TTTTTTTTTTTTTTTTTTTTTTGCAGAAATACAGAAGTGATGCTGTGTTCTCACCATATCCTAAAAAGGGTGCATGATTTCAATTTGTCTCCCTACTGGTGACAATTAAAGTAGCAAATATGTTCACCAGATTTCTGCACCTTTTTTTCTTTGTAGTGAAGTAGTATTAAGAGGAAGATACTTTGAGATTATGTAAATATCCCATTCCTCATCAGACTTTTGCCCACTTGTTTTAGTATCTTTTATTAGAAGAGATTTTCTTAAAATTAATGTTTTATTTTAGAAGAGGTTATATTTACAGAAACGTTGTAAAGGTAGTGCAGAGAGTGTCTGTTTACCTCTCACTTGAGTTTCCCCCAGTGTTAAACATCATACATTACCAGGTACATTTGTCAAAACTAAGAAACCGACATTATACAAGACTGTTACCTAACTCCAAACTTGATTTGGATGTCACCAGTCTTGCCATTTATGTCCGCCTTCTGTTCCAGGATCCAGTCCACATACCATGTTGCACTTAGCAGGCACATCTCCCTGGGCCCCTCAGGTGATAGCTTCTTGGTCGTTATTTTCCATGATCTTGACAGTCTTGAGGTGTATTGGTCAGGTATCCTACTGAATGCCCCCAGTCTGGGGTTATAGGTTTTTGGAAAGAATACTACAGAGGTGAGATGGTCCTCTAATCACATTATATGAGGAGTACATGATGTCCATATGCCATCCTGATGATGTCATGTCCCTGATGTTAACCTCTGTCGCTGGTTAAGGTCGCGTTTGCTAGGTCTCTTCATTGAAGTTACTACTTTTCCCATTCTCTGTTCTTTTTTGTTTTTAAGTTGATTTACTTATTTTGACAGAGAGAGAGAGAGAGAGCATGTACGCACACAAGTGGGGGAGGGGCAGAGAGAGAGACAGAGAATCCCGAGCAGGCTCTGCACTGTCCATGCAGAGCCTGACATGGGGCTAGAACTCACGAACTGTGAGATCATGACCTGAACCAATATCAAGAGATGGACACTTGGGGCACCTGGGTGGCTCAGCTGGTTAAGCCTCTGACTTCAGCTCAGGTCAATTCTCACAGTTCATGAGTTCGAGCCCCACATCAGGCTCTGTGCTAATAGCTCGGAGCCTGCTTCAGATTCTGTTTCCCTCTCTCTGTCTTTCTCTCTCTCTGCCCCTTTCCTGCTCACGCTCTGTCTCTCTCAAAAATAAATACACATAAAAAAAAGAGAGAGAGAGATAGACACTTAACCGACTGAGCCACCCAGGCGCCCCTCTCTGTTCTTTGGAAGGGAGTTGCTAAGTCCTAATATGGGAGTTGCCCATATTCATGGGCAAGAGTGGGGGTTAAGAATTAAGCTCTGCATCCTGGAAGAGAAAGTATCTACATAATAGTATTGGGAATTCTTCTATAAAGATGACTTTTTCTTCTTTATTTACTTATTCAATCATTTATTTCTAGCAGTAGAGGGACTCATGTATATCTATGTTATACTTTGGGTTATAATCCAGGACTGTGTTATTTATTTTGTTACTCACATTGGTCCCACCCTCGGCCATTTGGAGCTCTTTTGGGTTGGCCTCTGTATCCCCTGACATACTCCCATCCTTTTCTCTTTTAAATCAGCTGTAAATATTCACATACTATGAAATTTACCCTTTTAAAGTGTACAAACTCAGTAGGTTTTAGTATGTTCACAGAGTTGTGCAGCCATCCCCACTGTCTAGTTTTAGAACATTTTCATCACCCCCCCAAAAAGAAACCCTGTACCTTTAGTAGCCACTCCTCCTCTCTCCTTTCCCCCAACCCCGCTGGCGACCACTAATCCATTTTGTGTCTTTATGGAATCGTCTATTCTGGGTATTTCATTAAATGGAACCTTACAATAGGTGAGCTTTTGCAGTCGACTTGTTTCACTTAGTAATAATGTTTTCAGGGTCCATCCCTGTTGTAGCAGGTTTTTCATTCCTTGTATTTTCCTAGCCCCAGCCCTGGGGTGGACCATTCTTCCCAGGAGTCCTGGTTCTGATTGGAAATTGTGTCATTCTCTTCTCCATCTGTTTATTTATGTCAATAGGGACTATTAGGTTCCCATTTTATCCAGTGGGTTATAACCCATTGGTATTATTATTTTCATGTTCAGGTTTTCCCATATTTGGCCAATGGGAGACCCCTCAGGCTGGCTCCCGTGTCCTCTTCCCATGACACCACCATTCTTGTACCTTCGTACTTTCTGGTACAACAGGTGTTCCAAGGTCTTGCACTTTCCTTGCCCCCAAACCTGGAATCAGCTCTTTCTCCAAGGAGCCCTGGTTCCTTTTAGTGGAGCATGAGTTTTAGAAGCTGAGACCTGGGTGCTGGGTGAGCTCATTATCCCTGGAGTATTGCTGCTCCCAGCCTCTCTCAGTGGACACAGCCAAGAAGTATACATAAATATACATAAGTACGTACGTACACATATATGTAATACCTACATAGATAAAGATATGGACACGCACATACCTACATATATTATCACAAATTTCTATCTCTGTTTCTCTATATTGAAACCCAAGAGTTTCCACCAGTACCTCCGATTCCTGTCCAGTGCCACACACTTTATTCTCGATTCTCCCTTTCCATATTTGTAACCATCTTCTGTGACAGAACCCTCGCTTCCATTAGCCTTAATATACTCCTTTCTGGATCACTGCCCCCTAGATTTCAGCTCTCCCATGTGGACAGGTGCCAGCTGGGGCTGTGACACCCGTGCCAGGCTGCTGTCATCACTGCCCCACAAATGCCCTCCTCATCCCACTCACGCTCTAACGTGCATATTTTTAAGGCTTTTGATAGACCTTCCCACATTTCCCTCCAGTAGGCCCAGACCACCTCACAACTCCTGCTCCTGACGTAAGAGTGCCCGTTTCCCTGCTGTCTCACCAACAGCGAGCATATTTTATTTTTCCATCTTTGCCAATCTGAGGTGGAGGACAACTGTTCCTCATCGATCGTGCCTCCTAAGAGCTATTTTCATTTGGCGGTCATTCATGGTGCATCTTTTGTGAAGTTCCCATTTAGCTCCCTTCTAATTCTCTACTTCTGACGCTGGCGTTGTATCTTTCATGCTGAGGAAATTCAGTGTTTGGTTTCCAATCAGTCGTCAGCATTTGCCACCTTAGTGTGGGGATGCCATCGACAGTGTGTGAATGTAGGTCTGGGCCAGCTGGGGAAGACTTGGGTGGGTGAAGAGGCACCCCCACTTCTCACTTGGGTGCAGAGGGATAACACTGTTCAAAGTGCAGGGGCCCAGTCTCTGCTGGGGCACTGACCCTTTTTCTCCGTCCCTTCCCAGGTCTACATCCGTACGCCTTCCGGTGAGGTGCAGACGGTCCTCGTCCAGGACAGCACCCCAACAACAGCTGCAGCCACCTCTACCACCACCTGTAGCAGCCCTGCGTCCCGTGCTCCCCATCTGAGTGGGACCAGCAAAAAGCACTCGGCCGCAATTCTCCGGAAAGAGCGCCCCCTGCCAAAGATAGCCCCCGCTGGGAGCATCATCAGCCTGAACGCAGCCCAGCTGGCAGCAGCGGCCCAGGCCATGCAGACCATCAACATCAACGGTGTCCAGGTCCAGGGCGTGCCTGTCACCATCACCAACACCGGAGGTGAGAGTGGGCCCTTGGGCCAGGGTCTGGGCAGCAGGCCTGCTCGCCTCACCCCTGGGAGCCGTGGGCCGGCCCGGGGTTCCCAGGAACCACAGCGAGAATACCGCCCATCATTTGCCTGGTCCCTTCTAGCTTAAGAGCATGTCCACTTGGTCCTTACAGAAGTCCTAGGAGATAGTTTTTGTTTTTTGGGTTTTTTTGTTTTTTTAAACGTTTGTTATTGAGAAACAGAGACACAGCATGAGCAGGGAAGGGGCAGAGAGAGGAGGAGACACAGAGTCTGAAGCAGGCTCCAGGCTCTGAGCTGTCAGCACAGAGCCCGATGCGGGGCTTGAAGTCATGAACCGTGAGATCATGCCCCAAGCCGAAGTCGGACGCTCAACCGACTGAGCCACCCAGGCGCCCCTAGGAGATAGTTTAAGACGCGTGTTGGCCCCACCTGACAGCTGAAGACCTTGAATATGATGGAGAAATAAGATGTACTCAGGAAAGCTCTCCAGCTAACATACACATGCAAATTAGCATGGTACAGACCAGAGAGGGATGTTCAAGGGAGGTTCCAGGTAAAGGGACTTGAAAGAAGGCTCCTAAGAGGAGACAGCCTTGAGTTAACGGTTAGAAGGAAAGGAGGGAGCCTTTGGCAGTGGGAATGGCTTGCGCTACACTTCAGCTGGGTGGTAATACTTGGCAGTATTTACAGCGCCACGGCCCTTGCACGTAATCAAAGGAACATGGGAGCTACCTAGCAGAATGGTTTCTGGTGCTTTAGCTGGGTGTTCTTAATTTTTTGGTTAAAGTTTTTTAGAAATTTATTTATTTTGAGAGAGAGAGTATGTGAGTAGGGGAGGGGGGCAGAGAGAGAGGGAGAGAATCCCAAGCAGGCTCCATGCTCTCCATGCAGAGCTTGACGTGGGGGCTCGAACTCAAATGGTGAGATCATGGCCTGAGCCAAAATCAACAGTCAGTGGCTTAACCATCTGAGCCACCCAGGCGCCCCCTCGTTGAGTGTTCTTCAGCTGGGTGAGGAGCACTTTTCAAGCCAGTGGGAGTTCTCTCATCCTTAAATGAATTTATGTCATTCTGGTTTAGAGGCATAGGATTGAATCCACTCAGAGAAACACCAGTGTTAGGTCAGTGACACTCCCCATGCTTTGAATGGCTTTATGCACGTTGCAGAGGACTTGATTTATCCCGTTTCCGCACACTTATTAACAAAAATCCCTGGAGACGTCCCTGAGAGCAGAGTTGGTATCTCACAAGGGCCTGAGGTTGGAGGCGTTTCTGAAGAAACACTCCAGGACCACTCAAGACAAGACCCTTCCCCACTGAGGTCACGTGGGCAGAGTCTGACACCGAACTCTGCCTGCGTAGTGTAGTGTTCAGGACACTGCCCCGGAGGTCGACTGCCTGGGTTCAGACGCAGCTTCTACCAGTTATTACCTATAACCTTGATATGCTGTTGAGCCTCAGCCTCAACCATAAAAGAGGGATAACAGTCTCTAACTCAGGGGGTTATGAGGGTTAGATTAGTTAACACCTTTAAAGTCTCTAACGTGGTCTCTGGCACCTGACAGCCTCCCAAAAGTGTGAGCCGCTCCGATGATGATCTGTGTCGAGTGCAGCAGGGAAGAGGGGCGCCAGGCTTCGTGACCCTGAACCCTGCCCCCCTCTCGTCCACAGGGCAGCAGCAGCTGACGGTGCAGAACGTCTCCGGGAACAACCTGACCATCAGCGGGCTGAGCCCCACGCAGATCCAGCTACAGATGGAGCAGGCGCTGGCCGGAGAGGCCCAGCCCGGGGAGAAGCGGCGCCGCATGGCCTGCACGTGTCCCAACTGCAAGGACGGGGACAAGAGGTGATTCGAGGGGGAGGGGCCACGCCCCCAGCCCGCACGGACCCTGTTGCCCCGGCCCTTCTCCGGGACGCAGGTGGGAGAGGGGTGAGGTAGCAGCTGCCTGCCACCCGTCCCCCTCACCTTTCCTGTGCCCTCCAACCTGACCTCTCGTCCTCTCTCCGACCTGTCCCGCCTCCCTCTTCTACCCCCTCCCTTTCTCGGCTTCCCACCCCCTCCGTCCCCACCCTCAACCCAACTCCCAGGTCTGGAGAGCAGGGCAAGAAGAAGCACGTGTGCCACATCCCCGACTGTGGCAAGACCTTCCGCAAGACGTCCTTGCTGCGGGCTCACGTGCGCCTGCACACTGGCGAGCGGCCCTTTGTCTGCAACTGGTTCTTCTGTGGAAAGAGGTTCACACGGAGCGACGAGCTCCAGCGGCACGCCCGCACCCACACAGGTCTGTCCTCTCCCCTGCGGCATGCTCCGGGCCGCACGGGGTGCTTCCGGCCTCTCCCTCAGCCCACTCAGCGACATCGAGATTCCCGGCCGCACTGAGTGAGAGCTACACTCTCACTTCTCGGGGGGTCCAGGCCTACCCAGGAAATTCTTTCAGGCCAGTCCTTTACTGTAGCGTTTGCCAGAGTGATGCCATTCACGTTACGCAGCCTCGATGACGTTTGCCGTAGCTACACGGTTATTTATTTAACAAGCCCTGCTGTACCGTGCCAGCCACTGGACAGTGCGTGTTACCAATGAACTAACTTAATCCTTACAGTGACTCTGTGGGGAGGGTTCTTTATTATGCCCATTTTACTGAGACATGGGGAGGTGGCCGGGTCACCAGGCCCTCTGGTTCCCAGGTCAAAATCTTTTTTTTTTTTTTTTTTAAGTTATTTATTTTGAGAGAGTATGAACAGGGGAGGGGCAGAGAGAGGGAGAGAGAAAATCCTAAGCTGTCAGCGCAGAGCCCAACACAGGGCTCCAGCTCACGTCCCGTGAGATCATGACCTGAACCGAGATAGTTGGACGCTTAACTGACTGAGCCCCCCAAGTCCACGGTCTAAATCACTGTCCCACACTGCCTCTGCTACTATCACTTTCCAAATGATTTTCCTCAGATTGTTTCACTGTTTTTACTCCTTTACGTCTAGTGCAATATTTTGGCACCACAGGCTTGATAATAGTTACATATTTTAATGCGCTGGCAAATAAATGCAAAACTATAAAGTAGAACAGTCTTCGTCCAGCTACCACTTAACACTGTCGCGGGCATCTCCAGTGGCCCGCGGCACATGCTTCGAGAACCACTGCCAGAGCGAGTGTCTCCAGTGAGCAGACCCCTGGCCTGGGACTAGGGATAGGGCACGTGACCCGAAGCTACAGCCCCTGGCCAGCCACCCTCCCGGGGGGGAAGAGGAGTAAATATTCAGAATGGCAGCTGACAGGTCGGTGGGCAAGTGGGGTTTTTCCGCAAGTGGGTCAGTCACAGGGACAAAGATTAGAAGGAAGCAGGTGACAGCCCTACTTGGGAAGAGTCCTGGGTGCAGGTACAGGGACATAAGTACAGCATTTCAGGCAAGGGACAAGGGAAGGGAACAAAGTAGACTGGGAAGTGACGTCATGGGGGTGGAGGGAAATATGAGAAGTATGAGCTGCCGGAGGGTTTAGGTGAGTCGACCACAGGGAGCAAGCGTGTAGGCAGGAGGCGGGTAGGTTATGATGACAAGGCAACGCCAGCTTTACAGGGTGCCCCTCACACGCATCCCCTCTTCCGGGCTGGGACAGCGTCCGCACGTGGGCTCTGAGTGACGCGCATCTCGTCTTCCCAGGGGACAAACGCTTCGAGTGTGCCCAGTGTCAGAAGCGCTTCATGAGGAGCGACCATCTCACCAAGCATTACAAGACCCACCTGGTCACGAAGAACTTGTAAGGCCAACTGAGGCGGGAGGCCCTGAAGATACAGTCCCCCGTCTGTGTCCTGCCTGGGCCCCTGGTGGAAAGGAGGCTCCCGGTGCCCTGGGCCACCCTCAGCCCCTCCCTTCTGTTCTGCGACCAGTCCCATAGGAAGGGGCTCCGTCGCCCAGTGCTCACCTCCTTCTGAAGCCCCTTGGCTCTGCCCTGGCCCTTCCCTCTCACCTCGAGCTCCGGCCTGCCCAGACTGTGGACAGTGGCCGTGCCCAATGAGACGTTCTAAACCAGGACGAATGGGAACCCTTATTTCCAAAGGAAAAACATGAATTTCACTCCGTCGAGGAGCAAAGTGAGCCCCCCCCCCCCCCCCCCCCCC